GGGGGTAAAGAGAAGATTTTTTGGTAGAGTTTTAGCGAAAATAAACGCTTTTTGCTTTAGTTTTGGAGTTAAGAGAAGCTTTTTAGAGTAAAGACTAAACTTTTTTTCTAGTTTTGCAGTAAATAAAAGGGTTTTTCTTCTAGTTTGGAGTAAACAGTCTTCTGTTTGTTTTGTTATTGGTTTCCTGCAAAAAGAGACTTGTTAAATGTTTTGAGTGCGATATCTGGGACACCATGTTGTAGAAGACTGACACAACGCTCACTCTCTGTCTGTCTGTCTCTCTGTCTGTCTCTCTGTCTGTCTGTCTGTCTGTCTCTCTCTCTCTCTCTCTCTCTCTCTCTCTCTCTCTCTCTCTCTCTCTCTCTCTCTCTCTCAGACAAAGCGGAAACGTCTAATGATGATGTTGCAAACTTTACCTCCTGGGGGTTGATAGGAGTGGCTCCGATCTGCTTGTTGAGTTGAGAGATCTCCTCCGTGGGTCCAGCCAGCAGGGACGTGCCGGTGTCAGCGATCGCCTTACACCCACCCTTACAGTACGTGCTGTTGCCAACGGTAACGCTGAAAAATAAATGAAGGGGTAAGGGAAAGATAAGATAAGCCTATTTTTAGAAGAATAAAAAAAGGTTGCTAGTCCTTAACTTGCAACAGCACGGGTAGAATATCCCTATGAAATCAATCAAGTAAAAAACCAAGTCTTTCAAAAACTATAATATTATTTTACAACAGCAAATCAAGTTTAAACATTAGCCAAGTCCATGATTTCAGAAAAATATTGTTAAAGTAGGGTAAGCCGTGGTTTAGCCTGCTTTTCAATTGACCCTTTCAAATCTAATAGTGAGTGATTTACACCCCGACCATGCTATGGCCACTCGGGCTGAGAGGGATACAACATCCAAGCAGAAAATGGGGATACTCGATAATAAAACCTCCCATTACGGAAATCAAATTCACGTCTTCTGTGCGCGACGGAAAAGCGCTTAACTGCTGCACCACAGACGCCGGTAAGAATGTTGTAAGAGTCAGAGGAACATTGCTCAAAATCAAAGGAACATTTTTTTTCATAAGAATTTTACGGCACTTTCAACACAATAAGATCATAAAAGTTCCGAAGATTAGAGGTGTTACAAGAGAGTAACAAACACAAAAAACAAGGAGGGGAGATAAAGACGATAGATGTTTGATAGGAAAGAAGAAGCAACCCTCAACAGATCATCTGCCAACCACCCACTCAAAGGATTAAACACCTCTTTCAATACTGTTAAGTAGTTTAAAGGACATGACCTCCAAATTTAATATCCATCTCCCCCAGAACCGAGTCAATAGATGGACAGCCTTGAAGACTCCCAAACGGCCCACGTGAGAGAGAGAGAGAGAGAGAGAGAGAGAGAGAGAGAGAGAGAGAGAGAGACAGACAGACAGACAGACAGACAGACAGACAGACAGACAGACAGACAGACAGA